AATCTCAGCGGGAAGGTGACCTTCAAAAAAAGCTGGACCGTCCAGATGATCCAGAACATTACCTCGTTAGCCAGGAAAAACATGGACTACACGTACAGACCATTTACGCTCGATGCACAAAACCGGTAACACGGCCCGCTGTGAACAATAAAGACCTCACGAGGCCAAGCGGAGAGCGGAGAACAGGGTCAAGTTTCTGCCGCAGGAGGGGCACAGAGCAGGTGCGGTGGCCCGAGGGAGAGAGCACCCTGCACGGGACGGGGATGACAGTGGCCTAGGAGGTCACATGATGACAGCAGAACGACGTACCCTGGGATAATAAACATCAGGAAGGCATCAAGTGAGTGAACCTGTAAGGACACACTTTATTTACCACCAGGGAAACGGGAAGGGTGAGAATGTACACCGGCCGGGCTGCAAAAGTCCTCAATGCTTATCTCTGGGCATTTAGGGAGGTCTCTGGGATTACGAGGCCCAGCGTTCACAGCTCTAAAACTAAGAAAATTCGTGTTTCTTTTCCTCGATGGACTCCTGCTTGCGTGAGCGCATGACTATCGCCCATAATAACGGGCAGATTTTGACTCCCAGGTCCACAGACAGGAGGGGAGGCCGACAGAAGGGGAAGGTCCGGGGCTCCCTGAGATAAGGGGGGCAAGGCAGATACGGCCAGGGAGAGAGGGTACCAGCTGTGCACACAGTGTGTGGTCGAGGTGGAGAGACTCGTTCACCAGAATTCCCCCTGGGAAACAAGGACTCTCCTTGGGATGGGGGAGACCTCCCCCACTTTACCCACATGCTCCAGAGTAACGAGAAAGAGGGAAGCCATGCTGCCCTCTCACGCTCTGGGAAGCAGACTGCGGATTGAGGGCCTTTTCCTTTTCTGAGCTGGGGCACAGCTGGGGCGGGGCCGCAGGGAGGAGCTGGGTGTTGTGAGGTGCTAAGCCCCGGGGTGGGGGGTTTGGGGAGAGAGGGAAAAACCAGCAGTGGTTTGGTCAACAAGGGGCATTTGAGGATGTACAATGTGAGTGCCTTCTCCACCTGCCCGTGGACGCGTCAGTGGCAGTGGACTCTCGGGGGGTGAGGTTAAATCGGGGTCAAGTTCTCGGCCAGGGCTGGCCAGTGATGAGTGTGGACATCAAACACGAGAACACAGGGGGCACCTGGGTGGCTCAGTGGGTTAAGCCTCTGCCTTCAGCTCAGGTCATGATCTCAGGGTCCTGGGACCGAGTCCCACATCGGGCTCTCTGCTCAGCAGGGAGCCTGCTTCCCCCTCTCTCTCTGCCTGCCTCTGCCTACTTGTGATCTCTCTGTCAAATAAATAAATAAAATCTTTGGGGGGAAAAAACCCCACAAACACAGGACCAGGAGTTGGAGGGACAGGAACCTCCAGGTTTCATGTGACAGAGACACAGTCCGGTAGCATTTTTCAGCTTGAACTTGAGCAGCAAGTAAGAGAGCACACTGCGCTTGTCATCCCAGTAGGGATGAGGGAATTCAGAGAATCCCTCCCGCTTGGGCCCGACCGCCAGACCAGAGGTGGGACAGAAGATGGGGGCCGTGTGGCCTGCTGTTGCCTCGGGTGGCCCTTTTCTCAAGGGAAGGGTCTGAACCTGGGGGAGCACAATGGGGCTCAGCGTAAACCCACTAAATGGGTTTTGGCTGTGAGCAGTTACGTTTCCAAAGATGTTGACTTAAATCTCCGATATTCAAACCACGTAGTACAAACATCGATGTGCACGGCCTGCACACACACGGCAGTCGAATCCGCCCGTCCGTGGCACAGCCCGGGGCTTGGGAGCACAGACAAGTCACCTGACATCCCTCCCACCCTCCTGGTCTTCGACATCCGGCAGGAGCACCCACAGCCACCCTGTTGGCCGACGGCTGCACAACTCTGTGAATTAAAAGTCCTTCGACAAACATGGAAACCAGGTGGATTTTATGGTCCGAACATGGAACCCACTCAGCCGCTTACAGGGGACCCACATCAGAGATGCCGTGAAAGAAATGGGGCGCCTGGGTGGCTCAGTGGGTTAAAGCCTCTGCCTTCGGCTCAGGTCATGATCTCAGGGTCCTGGGATCGAGCCCTGCATCGGGCTCTCTGCTCAGCAGGGAGCCTGCTTCCTCCTCTCTCTCTCTCTCTCTCTCTCTCTCTCTGCCTGCCTCTCTACTTGTAATCTCTATCAAATAAAAAAAAAAAGATTAAAAAAAAAAAAAAGAGATGCCGTGAAAGGAAGAACGGAAGGCGTCTGGCACTGGGCCTGGCACAGCGAACACTTGGGAAACACTAGGGGTCAGTAACGTGTGACAAAGAGATTAAACAGAGCACTGAGGACGTGTCTCGTTAGATGTAAGAAGTCCAGAACCGCGGGGCCGGCTGGACCCTGGAGTTCGCAGAGTTCATGTCCCCTCGTCTCAAGGTCAGAGCCGTCTCTACCTGCTGGAGGCCGGCTGCGCGCGGCCTGCTGCCTCCTGGTGCCTCTGACGCTCGGACCTGCACGCACCCGAGGAGGACAAAGGACACTCGCGTGGAGGGAACAAGGGGGCTGCACACAGCGGACAGCTCCAGGCTGAGGCCCAGGTTGGGCAGGAGAACTGGCCCAGCGTGGGGGCTGGTGCCTGCTGACAGCAAGGCTGCGTAGTCCCTGTGCGACGTCCTGGCACGGGACACAGCAGGCCAGCCATCTGGCCGGCTGTCCATCCGCGTAGCCCCCACGTAGGGCACAGCTGCCCACAGGCTGTTCCTGCCCTGCTGGGCGGCCCAGGCTCGCTGCCCTCCCCCTGCCCCCGGCATCACCCACCAGCCCCTCAGGATGCTCAGGGCCTCGCTCGCCATCCTGGAGGTGGCCGTCACCTCCTCCATCCTGCACGCTCTGCAGAGGAACAAGGAGGCCCCACGGGTGGGGAGTCCCCAAGCTTCCCGCCTCCGCGATCGTCTAAGGCTCCTCGGCACACGTCTGCAAGATGTCAAAGCTGCAAGAAACTCCATCGAGGGTCCCAGGGCTCCGCAGCGGGCGGGAGGACAGGGAGGGTGCCTCCGCTCGACTGTCTTAACACCACAGAGGAAAATCATCCACAACTCTCTTGGGAGGTGGCGGGACTGTGGGCCCCCACAGTTCCTGATTAGTAATAATCCACGCTATGTGGCCTGTACAGACCCAGAGGCGATGGCATCCCCTCGGGGGTGCAGGGAGGGGTTGCGAAGGCAGACAGAGGAAACACTGAGGCCTGAAACAGCTTTTATGGTGGAACTCGAGATCCTAAAGCCTCTCCGGGAACAGTACCTAAAAGCCTCTCCTATCCAACCGCTGCGTGGGCTGGCGGGCGGCAGGGCCGTCCTCCCGCCGGTCATGCGGGCCGGGCACAGCAGGGACCCCCATTCGGCGCGCTCAGTCGGCGCCGTGCACGCTCTGGTGCCGGAGCAGGTGGGAGCTCCTGCCAAAGGCCTTCTGGCACTCGCCGCACGCGTACGGCTTCTCGCCAGTGTGGACCCGCTGGTGCAGCATGAGCTGGGAGTGCTGGCCGAAGGTCCTCTGGCACTCGCCGCACACGTACGGCTTCCCGCCGCCGTGGGTCTTCTGGTGGAGGAGCAGCTCCGAGCTGTCCCAGAAGGTCCTCGCGCACTCGCTGCACTGGTGGGGCTTCTCCCCGGCGTGGACCCGCTGGTGCGCCGCGAGGTGGGAGGTGCGCCGGAAGGCCTTCCCGCACTCGAAGCACTCGTAGGGCTTCTCGCCCGTGTGGATCCTTTCGTGCCGCAGCAACTCCGAGTTGCCCCGGAAGGCCTTCCCGCACTGCGCGCACACGTACGGCTTCTCGCCCGTGTGGATGCGGACGTGCCGGACAATCTCCGAGTTCTGGCCGAAGGTCTTGCCGCACTCGCGGCACTCGTACGGCTTGTCCCCCGTGTGGATCCTCTGGTGGCGGATGAGCTCGGAGCTCTGGCCGAAGCCCTTGCCGCACTGGCCGCACAGGTAGGGCTTCTCGCCGGTGTGGATCTTCTGGTGGCGGATGAGGCCCGAGCTGTGCTTGAAGGCCTTGCCACACTCGCCGCACTCGTGGTAGCGCTCGTCCGTGTGGATGCGCTGGTGCTGGATGAGCTGCGAGCTGACGCGGAAGGTCTTGCCGCACTCGCCGCAAGCGTACGGCTTCTCGCCCGTGTGGATGCGCTGGTGCAGGGCGAGCGCCGAGTTCTGGCTGAAGGCCTTGCCGCACTCGCCGCACTTGTAGGGCCGCTCGCCGGTGTGGACGCGGTGGTGGTGCACGAGGTGCGAGCTCTGGATGAAGGCCTTGCCGCACTCGCCACAGGCGAACGGCTTCTCGCCCGCGTGGATGCGCAGGTGCCGCCGCAGGCTCGAGTTGGTCCCGAACGCCTTCCCGCACTCCTCGCAGCCGAACGGCTTCTCCCCACTGTGCACGCGCAGGTGCTGCAGGAGGTGCGAGTTCTGGTTGAAGGCCTTCCCACACTCTTTGCACGCGTGAGGCTTTCCTCCCACCGGGCTTCTCTGTGCCCCGGGTGCCGCAGCCCTCTCCGCGGGGCTGGTGCGGGGCACGGTCCGGGGCACCAGTGGGTGCGGGCCAGGACCCCGGACACGCTCGCTCTTGTCGCCGTCCCCGGACTCCTCGCCCAACGGGGACCTCTTACAGACGGCCGGCCCCGACGCGAGGCCCTTCCCGCGAGCGGACGCCCGCTGCGCGCTCCCGTCCGCGGACGCTCCCGAACGCCTCGCCACTGTGTCCTCCGCCTGGGCGGCTCCCAACTCCCGGCCCTGGCAAACCACCTGGGGAAATTTCTCCGACGTGGCCGCGCGTGGCTCGGGGTCTTCAGAAGCCTCCTCCTTGGGGATTACCTCCACGTGCTCAGTCCCCATCTCACAATCTGAAATGACAGAGGGCAGGCACGTGAAGTGGCTGCAGTGCACAGGACCCCCCGCGAGAGCTGGTGCGGTGGACCGCATGCCAAGGCGGCCTGGGGGTCGGGGGACAGGATGGGACCAGGGGCGATGGCGGGCACGCCAAACGGAGGCTGGGCCCTGCCTGAGAAGCGTGACGCGGATCGTCTGAGGGAGAGATGTAAGGAGAGGGATGCTCCCGAAAGGCGGCCAGGGACCTGGGCGTGGTAAGGAAAGTGGGAACAGAGGGTCTACTGCGGAAAGGCTGGGCGAAGCGGCAGAGACGACACACTTCTCACCAGAGACAGGGCCCCTCCCTGGCGCTGACCCATGGCGCTCATCAGGACACAGGTCTGCCGCCGGCTTGGCAGGGCTGACTGTCCAGAGGGTCCCAGGGCTGGGCCAGGGCCAGAACCACAACAGAAGTCAGTCCTCTTGCCTCCCTTCCATTTGGGCAAGGTTGCCCTGTCTTCGTCTTCTCCAGGTGGCCACCCTGGCCGCCCCCCCCATGGAAACGCAGCCCACACCACAGTCTGGCGCTGAGTCAGGCTCCAGCTCTGGGCTCCCTTCAGTTCCGCAGACCCGTCCCTGCCCCAGGACCAAAGCTCCGGCTCACTGCAGCTCCCTGAAGTCTTCACTAAGTGAGAGAGCTTCGCGCTCCGTCTTTTTCAAATGCTTCCTGTCAACGCTCACCTTTCTCCAAATAAGTTTGTTTTGTGAAATGTCCAAACATATCCTGATGTTTTTAGGTCCAACACATCTCTTTCCTTTTTGTGAGTTTTCTTCTATTTTCAAATGAGTTAATTCTTTTTATGCATAGCTATGTCAACTTCTACAGACTGTTTATAAAACAGCCTCTTCAGAGAGTTTTTTTTAACACTATTTTAGATCTAAACCTACACTTTTTTAAACTTCTAAAAGGCTACCGCAAAAGTTTTACTTGTTACCCACTATGCCTTCTTCCACAGGTCATCACCAACAGAATAACGAACGTATTTACTGCAGCATGAAACCTGGCTGAAGACAGACATCCCTCAGCCTTCTCTGCGGACGGGTGTGGCCACACGACCGCACTCTGGTCGGTGAGACAGGAAAAAGCAGACGAAAATGCATGGGATGTCTGGGAAGTCTCCTGAGGGGACTGTCTTTCTTCACTCTTCTCCTCACTGTGCCTGGGGAGACAGGTGGCAGACGGGTGCCATCTGGGCCGTGAGCACTGCAGCGTCCCCCCCATACCCTAGGACAGGGCAGAGCTGGAAGGAACCGGGTCCCTAGCGGCTCCACGGAGCTGCCAACCCAGCCCTGGAATGCCTGCCTCTGGACTATTTTTTTTTTTTTTAGATTTTTATTTATTTATTTGAGAGAGAGACATGAGCAGGGCAGAGAGCAAGGAGCATGTGGGACTCAATCCCAGGACCCCAGGACCTGAGCCAAAGGCAGACACTTAACGACCGAGCCATCCAGGCACCCCCAGAACTTTTCCATCTGAGAGAGAAATACGCCTTTGCCTTGCTTAAGCCGTTGTGGTTTTTTTGTTTTGTTTTTAGGAAGCCAGACCTTCTCCTAACTGGCACCATGGCCCTGGGGGTTGAGCTATCCTGGACACAGAAGCGGAGTCAATGCCAGAACGGGCTTGGCCTCTGTCCAGGGAGAAAGCAGCCTGGGGCAGGGCACACGGGCACCGTGGCCAATCAGAGGAATAGGATTCTCCGCCCGTGAAGTTGTGGCAGCTGAATCTCAAGGGGGGACAGGCAGCTGAGGGCCCTCACCCTACACCGCAGAGTCGCGGAATGGTTTCTAAGCCAGGGAGTGACACAGACCACGGCCAGATGAGCATTTCAGGCCAAGGCACACTAACGACCACTTCGTAGCCAGAAAGCAGCAGGCCAGGACGTAGGGCCTATGAGAAGGCGGAGGCACGCATCAGGGTGGGGGGCGTGAGCTGACCAGGGCAACAGCAGCAGAGGGAACGAAGAGGAGACAGCTGCTGAAAGAACCCAGGGTCAAACTCCGTAAGGCTCGGCTGGGAGCTGCCGGGGCTGGACACAGGGTAAGGAGGGGAGCACAGTCACGGACGATGCCCAGACCTCCCTGCCCGTCATCAGATGACCAGCAGTGCCAATGGCCAGGGGTCCGGAGGCAGCACCTCATTCGGGCGGCAAGAGGACCCATCAACGCTGTTTTGCACAAGACACGTTTCAAGGCATCCATACAGAGTACCAAGGAGTCAGCTAAAATGTCCCGGTCTGAAGATACCCTGGCCAAGATCAGAGACACAGCCCGGACCAGACTGAGCATCGCTGGTGGCAGCACCGTGTGATGGCCACTGCAGACAGGGCACAGACACCCAGAAGCCAAAGCTAGCGTGCAGGCTCTGCCGTCACCCACCATCCTTCCCTCCGGGGCTTCCCGCCTTTCTCCGCCCCAGGAGGCTACACTCAGCATGGACATTCACAGCCCCTGGCGTCCAGCTGCAGCCGTGGGGAGGCCCCACGGAGACCAGAGGGAGGGAGGACTCAGGTCAGGGCATTTGTTTCCTTGGTTCCCTCCTGTGAAGCCGCCTTGGACTGGCGGTGTCCCCCCATTCACCAAAGGCCGTTCTTCCTCTTGGGGAGTCTGTCCGACCCAATCATCTCACAGCCCCGGAGCCAGCAGCCTCCCCAGCCTCTGGTACCCCCAGGCCCGGCTCCCGGATCCACACCTGGATCATTTATAACTAACCTCCCTCAATGATCCTAATCTGAATGAGCAGCTTCCCGTCTGGACCCTCGGGGCAGAGAGTGGGAGGACGAAGGGAAGCCTGCCAACAAGAGAAGGGATGGTGAGTGACCGAGTGAATGACACAGGGCCACCTGGAAAGTGCCTATGGGGACAGTCCGGCGGTCACAGGGGCCTGTGGGAGCAGACTCGCTGGAGAAGTCAAGTCCAGTGGCGGCAGACGGATGGAACGGTCTGTTGCTTTTTCCAAGAGTCTGGATGAAAGGACCAAGGACCTCCCAACGGGAGTGCCCCGCACACGCCCCACACATGTTGGTACAAAAGGCGTGGCGCCACCCAGCCCAGGACACCCGGAAGGAGCCTGACCTCCTCGTGGGGTCCCTGAGACCTGGAATCTCTGGGCTCCCCCGAGAGGACCCGCAATCTTCAGCTCTGCCCTCAACACGGGCTCTGCCCTTCCCACAGAGCAAGGGCAGCCCCCAAAAGCTGGACTTCTCCTTTTTGTTGAAATTTCTGCAAACTGCGGTTGAGTAAGGGTCCACGGCGCTGGGACTCAACTGCGCCCTCGTTCGTGGCGCACGTGGGCTGGGAAGCACACCCTTAGAGAGATGTCTGACATGCAGCCGCGGTCCAGTCCCACAAGCTGCTACTTTTCGGTCCCCGTCAACGCCCCACCCCTCTCCTGTCCCCTTGTCACCCACGTCTCTCCTACAGTCCACCGTCCAGCGCCTCGCAAGGTCGGAATTCTCAGAACCGCACGGAAAAGCACTTGTCCGCGGTACAACAGGACAAGCGTTCTATCTGCCCCCAATTTCAAGATCTGGTTCAAAAGTCAAATCCAGAACATCTCCCCCAACGGAACGTGACCCCCTGACCTTTCCTCCCCTCTGCCTTCTGCCAGCGACATGGTACTAGCGTCCCTGGCGGGTCGCACTGCTGTATGCCTTTCTGGCAGTTTCTCATGTGTGCGTCAGAGCCGAGGGCACGCGGCAGGCAGGCCTCACGCTCACGCAGAAACACTCCCCTCCTCCAGCCTAGATTCAAACTTCCGGCCGGAATTTCCTAACTTTGTCTCTCATGTCCTCATTCTCCTAACCCTGAAACTGGCTGCTTCTGGAGAGAGAGAGAGGATGGCGGTGTCACCTGAGCAGGAGGGGGACGGCTCCTGGTCCTCGCTCTGGGGGGGACACGCAGACCTCTCCCAGCTCACCACAGCTCAGTACAGGGTCTACAGCTCTGCAAAGCCTCACCCACAGAGTCCCGATGCACCCACCAGATACCCATGTAGCCACTAACAAGACCTTCGACTCTGAAAGGACCACGCTGCCACCGAAACCCTGAGAACCGCGTCACAGCTTGCAATTAGAGCGGGAAGACTGTTTGATTCTTAAACAACAATCCTCAGCCTGGAATGAGGCAGGATGCGCGATAGTCCACTGGGAAATGTGCAGAAACTAGGAAATTCGAAATGACGAATTCCAGGTCCCACCTCAGGCCTCCGAGAATCCCCGGGGCAGGCCCAGGGCACTGGGTGTCTAACAAGTGCCCTGGGGGATCCTGATGCCCCAGCAGGGGTGGGAGCTGCCCCAAACTCAGTCCGGGCGCTCAGCTCTACCCAAGGCCTGGCCCACTGCGCCCGCCACATGCGTGAAGCAGCAGGAATGCGTGGACACGGCTGGCTAATGCTCCGACTTCTTTTCTCCTTTCTGACCCTCCCGCTGGGCTGGGCTGGGCTACCCTCCCCTCCCCTCCCCTCCCCTCCCCTCCCCTCCGCTTCACAGAGCAGACAGGGCAGATCCAGTCCCGCACGCTGGAGGCTCTCCATGGAGGGAAACCACACTTGTGCACCCATCAGGCCTTAGCTGCTGGGACAGGAGCAGAGTTTGCCTCCAGCTGCCTAAATCCGAGTTCACACCAATCTCCAGGGATAGCGACATCACTCAATCCTTTGAACTCAACTGCCCAAAATCATGATGTGATTTATGATAAACACTGACTAATCTGGCCGCTGACACTCTGCTTAGGTCTTTTTAAAATGTCTGTTGAAAGCAAAGATTTCTGAAAGAGCTACAAAAGGCCCAAGAATCACTCCGGTCTCCAACAGACTCCACAGGGTTGCACGCAGAGGCTGTTCCAGCCCAGAGGGACATGCAGCGGGAACTGTAGGGAGGGCATGGTGAGAGACAGGTCTCCCTTTGGTAACAGGACGAGAGCAAGCTGAAGGAGCAGGAAGGGAAAGCTGCGAGCCAGGGGTCCACGGGGTCCGCTGCCGGGCAGACGCACATAGGGCAGGGGTGCAAACGGGCTTCCAGACAGTGGTCCCCAGGCTCACAGAGGTTACAGATGGTGTCTGCGCATCCCACCCCCATCCCCACAGAACTACACACAGCACCCAGGCAGAGCGCGAGGCGAGAACCAGAGTAAAGAGAAAAGGAACAGAGGGAGCATTGTGGCCTCGGCGTAGCATGTGGACTGACAAGGAGGCCCAGAGTCAGTGAGAGTGCTGGCATTCTGATGCGGAGAGGGACCGGGAGCGCTTACTGTGTGCTGGGAGCAAAGTGACGCACAGATGTTACCCTGGGAAACCCTCACAGCCTCCCCAGGAGATAAGCATGCCGGTGTGAGGAGGAGGAGCCGATCGACATCATTTCCCCACCCTCTCCAGCCCCAAAGCAGCTGGGAATCTGGGGACATGGTGGTGGAAGAATGAGGGACTTGAGGATGTCAGCCAGGACACAGTGGAGAAGGGAGAGCGGGACAGGGAGGCGGATGGAGTGGGGGAAGGGAGGGAGGCGTAGCGTGTGCCCAGATGGAGGTTTCAGAGAGGCGGGGAATGTGATAAGCACACAGAATCACAGGGCAAGGATCCTGGCACGTGGCCCAAGGTTTAATTTTAAATGCCAAAATTCATGATACACTCAGAATATCCTTTGCAACTATTCAAATTTATGATGAAACATTTCAGAAGTTGACTTCTGCGTAGGTATGGGGACGCAACGCTTCTCCAATCCTTTTACAGAGCATTTGAGCAAAGAAGTGGGCAGTGGTCTTGCAGGCTCTGCAGGAGATCTGAGCTCTGGGAATGAGCCCCCACCGAGCTAACCCAGACAGCAAGACCACCTCCCTTGCAAGGGACTGTTCAGAATAGCAGGGACGGATCTGGGGATGGACACATGCCTTCTTCTGAGTCAATGATGTTCTGAGCAGGCTTGCTGGGAGCCTCCGGGAATAGTTCCTACCATCCTGCCCAGCTTGTGGATGACGTCAGGGAGAGCTCATAAAAATCGAGGAACCGTGGAGCCACTAGGTTCAGTCCGTCCGGGAAGCACTTTCCTGCATGGCTCCAACTGTGCAAGCTTACACACCCGCACAGGCCGAAGCCAACGTGAGCTTCATTATGTTACTTACAGACAAAAAGCATCTTAAGGGATATCCTTTAAGGGATATCCTTTCCCCTAACTTCTGAAACGCCCAATCCTACCAAATGTCCAGCATCCCGTACAAGGATCTCCTCCTCCCCGGGGTGTTCGCTCAGGCGCAGGACCGGGAAGCTGCTGGGAGGGTCCTGCGGGCCAAACACCGGCTCCTCTTTCCAGCGTCGTGGCCTTTGGGAACAGGTGTTCCCACTTCCCGGAATACCACCGCCCACTGTGCGCTTCACCAGCATGCACGGGCCTGGGCTCGGCCACACGCAGTCCCACTCTTCCCTGACCCCGACGCCCCTCCGTCTGCTGGCAGTCACGCCGCTGTACCGTCTGTCTACGCGCACCCAACACCCAGCGCCTGGAGCGTCCCGGGCAGCGGACGGAACCGCCTCACGAGCATCTAAGCGCGCTATCTACACCGCGGGGCTGCGGCGCCCTCGAGGACTAAGTGGGTATTTCATTCCCTTTCGGACCCCAGGGGCCCAGACCGGTGCCGGGCAGGCCGCGGAGGCGCGTCGCCCGGTCTGTCGAGCGCCGTCTCCCGGCTCTCCCGGGTCCCCCCACGGTCCCCCCGCCAGGACAGCTCCCGAACCCCCGCGCTCAGAGCCGCTCCCGTCCGGCCCCCACCCCTACCCGGCAGCCAGTGTCCGGCGGGGTGACCGTCCCGGCCGCGCTCGGGGTCGCGGGGTCGGGAGGCCCGGGGCAGGGCGCGCGCGGGGACGGCCCTCGCGGAGCAGGTGGGGAAATGGAGGCGGGTTGAGCGGGGCGCTCGGCCGGCCCAAGGTCACAGGCCGGCTCAACGCGTCCGCCCGGCCCGCGGGCCGCAGCAGCCTCGGGGCCCGGCCCCCGCCCCGCCGCGCCGCGCCGGGGGGAGGTCTCACCGCGGCCGCTCGCTCCGCGCTCGCCCCGCGCCGCGCTCCCCGCCGCCGAGCTCTCCGCGTCCCGGGCGGCGGAGGCCGGCGCTTCCACTTCCGGCGCGCTCGGCCAATCAGCGCGCGCCGCCGGCGGCTGAGGAGCAGGTGGGCGGCCCGACCCGCCCCCCCGCGCCCTCCCCGGGATCCCCCCGGACCGCCCCGGAACCCCCCAGCGCCGCCTCGCCGCCCCCCGCGGAGTCTGCTCACCGGAGAGGTACCCCCAGCGCCCGCGTCCCCCGCACCCCGCGGAACCACCGACGAGCAGGGTCCTCCGACCGGCCTAGAACGGCCCCGGGGACGCACTTCCGCCGCGGGGCCGGCCGCTCTGCGCGCCCCAGTCGCTGCCCCCGCGTCCACCTGCGCCCGAGCGGGCGGCGGCCGCTTCGCCCTGGGCGCCCCATCCCCGCGGCCCTCAGCCCGTCAGGCCCCTTTCCGGAGCGCCGAGGGCCTGGCGGGCGCGGACCCCTGCATCCCGGAGCGCGGCGAGCAGGGAGCCCGCTCGGAGGGCCTGCTCGCGGGAGCGCCCTGGGGTCAGCGTGCGGGCCACCGCCGGCCGCACTTATCCTCCGCCGGGCACCGTGCATTCCGCATCCTCCGCCGGCCCGGCTCGCCCCAGCCCCGGGCCTCGGCCTCTGAGCTCCCGTGCGGTCCTCGGGCCTTCTGTGCGCGGGCCTCGGCTCCCAGGGGGCGGGGCGGAGGGCCCGGCCGGCGGCGCTGCTCGCAAACGCCGCTCCTCGGGGGAGCGCCGTGACGGGCCCCGTCCGCGTCCGTGCATCGGCGGCGGTGGGAGGGTCAGCCCGGCCGCGGCGGCTTCCGCGCTGGCCTCAACGCCGTCTTGCGGGGTCGGAGGAGCGGCTGCCCTCGGGGGAGGCCGCGGTGTTTGCAGCCGGTGCGCGGCAGAGCGGGGAGCTTTCCCTTGAGCCGCTCGTTGGAATTCGGCCCGAGACCCCGGGGTCCGCGCTCCTGCCCCCACCCCAGCACCCTCAGCCCCTCTGCCCTCCCACCGGCGGCGGCCGAGAAGCGTGGACCGTGGGCCGGCCGAGATGCCCGTCTTCCTCGCCTAGGCTGCGCACAGCCCCTGGGAAAGACATTTCCAGAAGAGCCCCAAGACCCGGTGTCGTTTCTCCCTCCCGCAGGCCTTTCCCCGCTTCCAGACGTCGCGTCGGCTTCCCCAGCGGCTCGCCGGCACTTCGCACGACCCCCGCTGCAACCTGCGCTGCCTGCACCCAGCCCATGGGCCGCGGCGGTAGCCACTGCGCGCACCAGGCATCCCAAGGAAGGATGCCCGGCCACGCAGGTACCCTGCCCCAGGACCAAAGGCTGGGGGACGTTTGGCCCCGATGACTGACTTTATCCAGGTCACCTGCATTAGCGGGCATCCGCCTCGAGAACCCAGATGAGGGGCACCCGGGTGGCTCTGTCGGTGAAGTGTCTGCTTTCGGCTGCGGTCACAATCCCAGAGTCCCCGGATCGAGCCGATATCGGGCTCCCTGCTCAGGCGGGGCCCTGCTTTTCCCTCTCCCTCTCCCTTGGCTCATGCTCCCTCTCTGTCAAATAAATAAGTAAAATCTTGAAAGAAAGGAAGGAAAGAAAGAAAAGAACCCAGACGAGGGACTCAACCATGGCTGCCCGTTGGAATGGGGAGGTGGATGGATTTTACAACTACTGATGTCTGGTGCTAACCCCACAGGTTCCAGGCGAGGGGGGGTAGTGTGCGTGTGGTGGGTGTGTGTGTACGTGCACACACACACATGCATACACACACTCACGTGCTTTGTGATTTTCAGCTTTCTGAGTGATTTGAACGTGCAGCTAACAAAGTTGAAAACCAGCAGCCCCAGTCAGTGACTCGCATCTCCTGGAAACTTGATGGAAATGCAAATCCTTGGGCCCCATTCACACATCTTCTGCATCAGAAACTCAGGCGTTAGGGTTTGGCAGTCAGTTTTCATGGGCCCTTCGGGGGGTCTGATGCCCACTAACGTTTCCCTGTCAGGGCCCAGACATCAGCTGCACTGACTTTAATCAGCCCTTGAACATGGGTCGGAGAGGAAAAAAAAAGATAAGCTGCATCTTCCCAGCTCCTCCCGGCCCACCCTCTGCTTTATTAAACTAGCAAATTCAGGGGCATCTGGAGCCCCTGAATTTGGAAATTTGGAAATTCATGAGGGAAGGAGACCGAAGCAAGTGGTCCGCCAATACCATCCCCATTTCCAGTGGGCATGAGGATGTATACAGCTGGTGTTTCATGGTCTCCCTACAGGCTTAGGACTTGCACAGGATCTTTTTACAGATGAGGGGAAGCAGTTTCTCTGCTAGGTAGGAATCTCGGTCACCCTCTTGAATTCATGCAGGGACAGACACGTGGAAAATAAAAGACATCCCGGTCGTGTTCTCCAATGTCCCCTTCTCTCCCATCCGTGGAGAACGTGAGGAGAGCTCCCAGCACGGGCCACAGCCCTTTGTTAGACTTCACGATCACATCATCTCAGATGAAGCTTACGACTCTGTTTCAGATCTACGGCTCATCATGATTATGTTTTAATTGTCTGCAGACCACATTCCAAACTATCACCAAACCATTAGGAACAGCATTGGATGTCCGCCCACACTTTGGCAGCACCGTATCAGCCATGGTGGGGCTCCTAGAGATACAGGACTGCGAACACCACCTTGTGCACCTTCGGGTCCCTCCAAACTGCTCACCCCCCGCCCCAGACATGTAAGCCAGCCAGGACAGGCTCCAACACAAGACGCTGGCTTGCATGGCCTTCTCTCCCTGGAAACCTCCCCACTTCTCAGCTCCCTACATCCATGTCTTGTGTGACCTGTCCCCTCCCTCATCAAACCTGCCTTTCTGCCCCTCTTTCAACCAGGCCAACCTCACAGTATATCGGGGACGCCCAGAGTCTCACGCAGCATGGCACAGATGTAACTGGGCACAAATGATTCCACTGTTTCCCAGGAACGTGCCTTTCCCTGGTATAGACGGTGTTCCTTGAGAGTCCACACTGCATTACACGTCTCGGGAGACGCTGGCCGTGCCCAGCCCATGTTCGGTAGAAACTGGCCAAGCTAAAACACTCAAGTCTCACCTCCACGCACTGAAGCAACAGCAAAAGTTGAGTCAAGACTCAGTTAAGTCTTCCGTGTTTCCCTCCGTCCTCCAGCGATGACGAAGCACCTCGTCGTTATCCCTGAGGAGCCCGGAAGGCATCTAATTCTACTCCTGTGCTCAGGCCGCGGCCCATCAAGGAGTCTTGGCTGGGGCTCGCAGCTGGCTCAGTGGGTGCAGTGTGCGACTCTGATCTTGGGGTCATGAGTTCGAGCCCCAAATGGGGTGTAGGGATTACTTGAAATGTTTTTAAAAAAAAATGTTGGACGAACTATTCCTCCAAAAAACATCCCTTCTCTGTGATACCAACTTTCTCCTCAGGCTGACGTGATCCATTTGCCAACTCCCACACCATTAACTCGCTCTCCAAACCGTGTTCTCCCAGACGCCACACGCCTGCCCACAACACCGTCCTCGTCCCCACCACCGCCGAAATCCTCACGGCCCCTCTCGAGTAAAAGGGTCCCTTTGTTTCTGAGGCTTCGTTTTGCTGCCAACACCCACGACTCTCTCCAGACTCATCCTGGGCTCCTGGCTGTCCCCTCCCTGCAGTGAGTCACCCCATGACCACGGATAGGGCTACAGTGTTAATTCCGCAGAAGAAATCACGAGGCATACATATTACCCAGGCGGCAAAATATGGGTCTAGAGGCCACAGAACAACAAATCTGATCCGTACAAGTATCTCACACAGTTTGCAAAGGCCCCTCGCCTAGTCTGGCCACGGGAAGAGTGTCCCGAAGCTTAGACTGTCTACCACAGGTGTAGACGAGGCTCTCCCGGATGAGGGGGCCGGATCAGAGACTCGTCCAAGGGTCATCAGGTCAGACACCGCAAGGCCAGGATGAGCACCCACACCTTCGTCCTCCTCCCCAGACTCTTGTCACTCCAATCTGACTGCCTTCCCGGAGTCCCACGCAACCTGCCTCCAACCCTTACAGGGGCCCCAAAGCGTGCCCTGTTTTGTCCCTCTTTTCTGCATGAGTCAGCTCCAGGGAGGACATATCAAATCCAGCTTTCACAAGATCTCACTTCCCTGACACGTGCAGAGCTTCTTCCATCGACCAAAATAAATCCCTGCACAACGCTGGAGTCTGGGTCACCTCTCTGGCTCCCCTCCTCCCGGCATCTGACTCAGAGAACGTCACACCCCACCCCCCCAGCCGCCTCTGATTCCTCCCCTCCGGTTGCGACGCGAAGCGCTGCCCATCCTGACCCTGGGCGTTGGGGCTTGTGCTCTCCCATAAGAACATTTTCCATCTCCCCGCCAGGTGGCAAGAGCCCCGCCTGCCCCCTGTGACCGTGCCTGTCACTCAGCACTGACCACAGCGTGTGTGCAGCTGACGGAGACGGGCTCCCGGGGAAGTCTGCCACGAGTAACCAGGAAGTTCACAGTGGCTTTGAGAACCAGAACTTAAAAACCAAAAGACGGCACGAATTGTGCTGGGTATCGGGGAGTGTAGAGAATTGCCAAATAAGTGCTCTGCACCTAAAGCTAACATAACATCAAATGTTAATTATATTTCAGTTTAAAAAAAGAATAAGGGGGACACCTGGGTGGCTCAGTCGGTGAAGCGTCTGCCTTCAGCTCAGGTCATGTTCCCAGGGTCCTGGGATCGAGCCCCGAGTCGGGCTTCCTGCTCAGCGGGGGGTCTGCTTCTCCCTCTCTCTCTGTTGCTCCCCCTGCTGTGCTCTCTCTCTCTCTCCCTCTCTCAAATAAATAAATAAAATCTTTTTCAAAAAAAGAAAACATTATAAGAACATTTAAAATTATAATAGTACATTTTTGCCATCTTTGTAATTATTTAAGATTTCATTTCAAGTAATCTCTACACCCAACATGGGGTTCAAATTCACGATCCCAAGATCAAGAGCCCCATGCTCTTCTGACCGAGCCAGCCGGGCACTCCCAAGTAAGCTTTTAATTTTAGAACGGTTTTGAATTTATAGAAAAGTTACAAAGGCAATACAGAGAGTGCCACATCCCGACCCCCGTTTGCTCCCATCAGCATCCGACATAAGTCTGATACATGTGCTATGATTAGTGGCTCATACACTGTTATTATCACACACTCTTACCAGCTGAAGCCCACAACTCACTCAGCTCTCGCTGGTCTTCACGGATGTCCTCTTCTGACCTGGGATCCCATCCGGGCACCACGTTTCATTTGGTAGGCATGTTCCTTTGGCTCTCCTTGTCTGTGACATAACCGTACATTTAAAAATAACAGCACAACCCAGCACATCACCGCAGGACGTGCAGAAGCAAATCAAAACAACAAAACAACTCCCAAGTTCCCACAACACTCACACAAGATGTCAGCATGTGTGCGCCCGCTAACCGGGTATTAGCATGAACGACGCAGCGTCCTTCTCCAGCTTTCACATGGCAAACCCCCAGATCATTCTGATGCATCAGGGCACCATTAAATGCACACATCACCTCCACCCTGGGGAAAAGCCTGTCAGTTCGAAGTCAGTACCCACAGAGCACACGGGAAAGGATGCCAAAATTCACGTGCGAGAGACGTAATGATGACTGTTTCAGTGAACGTGTGCCAAGACACAGTAGAGGGACATCCCTAAACCTCCATGCAGAGGTTTTTAAATTAATTACTGAGGGGCGCCTGGGTGGCTCAGTCGGGGAAGCCTCTGCCTTTGACTCAGGTCATGATCCCAGGGTTCTGGGATTGAGCCCTGCATCAGGCTCCCTGCTCCTCGGGAAGCCTGCTTCTCCCTCTCCCACCCCCACCTTGTGTTCCCTCTCTCGCTGGGTCTCCCTCTCTGTCAAATAAATACATAAAATCTTTTTTTTTTAATTTTTTAAAAGATTTTATGTATTTATTTGACAGAGAGAGATCACAAGTAGGCAGAGAGGCAGGCAGAGGGAGAGGGGGAAGCAGGCTCCCTGCTGAGCAGAGAGCCCGATGCGGGGCTCGATCCCAGGACCCGAAGGCAGAGGCTTTAACCCACTGAGCCACCCAGGCACCCCTATTGTTGTGAATATTGATATGTTCTAATAACCCACAAAAATGTACTTATCCAGTAACACAAGTTGAGATAACTTCCCCTTGCGACAAGGAATATAAAATGATGCTGTGGCCAGAGCAGTCATAAAACAAAACAAAGGGACGGGAGAAGATATTTGCAAATGACAGACCCAGTAAGGGGTTACTATCCAA